AGGTCTACAGCCCTTGGGTCATAGACTATGAGCTATAAGTATATTGGTCTTTTTATACTGGGAATCAGGAGTTATTTTAGTGATCATCTTGTTTCTTGTTTATTTTTGTCCTGATTGTGCCCTGAGCAGTTTTATGACTGAATAAAAATAAAAAAATAAAAATCTACATAAATTGAAAAATCGTCTTAAATAATCGAGATCTCAATTTCAGTCACAATAATCGTGATTATTGTTTTTGCCATAATTGAGCAGCCCTACTTTAGCATATCCGGTCACATTATGATGACGTCATATTCAGTGGTCGTTCTGCATCATTTCAGGCCTCGTGGTCAACTGAACCGCTGAACAGAAGTGCCTGGCTTATTTTCTAAGTAAAATAAATATGTGCATTACGTTGTCAACATCAGTGAGTCTCTAAGTCTATTCTTTTTGTATGTTAAAATATGTGTAAATAGGTCGCTGATTAACACTTGCAATTTAGTGTTGTGATGGTTTTAAAAAAATTCTGAAGGTAGTAAAAAAAAGCACTAATAAGTAGTAAATTTTACTTAAGGATTGCTGTATATACCCTGATTATGTTCATCAAGTAATATTATACCTGTCTGAGTTGGATGTGAATGACTTTGTTCCTGGCCAGATCCATCATACTGGAGCGCCCATACTCAGAGTCCTGCAGGAAAGAGTCCATCTTGAAACCTAAGAAACAAAGATTTCATTCACCAGGTCAATCAGCTGGCATGTCACCACCAAGTGTCAGGTCCAGAGTCAGTAGCCTGCTTGATGATGTCATCCTGCCCTAGCCGCCACTGCCAGCTCAGTGTGGGAATGAGCAGCTCTGCTTCGACAGTCCCTGCGCATTTTAGACCCCCAGGAAGTAAAATATGATAAGTTATGCCATAAAATGGCACACACACACACACACACACACACACACACACACACACTCACACACACACACACACACACACACACACTCACACACACACACACACACACACACACACACACACACACACACACACACACACACACACACACACACACACACACACACACACACACTCACACATTATCAATAGTAACACATAATGGAAGACCATAAGATCATGGAAAACGATGAGTCAGTGAAAAGGCCAGCAGCACACAGCTGCAGGTTGTTCTCCGTGGGCTGACTGGACGGCACAGATGGTTACTGTTCCGTGTGAACGATGCTCTTCTTGTCCTTTTGGGGACGGACCTCAGTGAAAGAGCTGTGCACAGCACAGAGATATAAATATCATAGGAATACTGTAATGTTTTATATTTATTTCTTTACCTGGAACAGTTCACAGTTTTGTCATTTCGGTGGGAGCCGGGATCAAGAGCCCACACCTCACATCCGGGTCTTCTCAGGGGTGTGGAGGCTGCTGTGGGCTTTCTGGAAGATGCATTTCCATCCTGGTCCCTGAACTGGGTGGCGATGTAAAACAAACATACATATTTATTGATGTTTACCACAGCAGAACATCACATGTGCGACAATAAGCTGTTAAACAAATGCACACACAGTGTTTGAACTAGAAGGCACCGTTGCTATGCTGGTAGGGCTTCGTGTTAGCCTGGACGAGTGCATCCTAGCAGACGATGAGCTCAGTCTGACAGCCAGTGTGTTGGGTAGATTTAGTCTGAACAAAGCAAAAGCACATCGCTGTTGGAGTTTATAAAAACACAGATAATGTACAACAGAAACTCCTATTTATGTGTGTTATAACATGTCTGCTGTGTGATCTGACTACTTGTCAGTGTCCAAAATCAGACATGTAAATGTTCTTATCATAGGCGAGCTCCAGCACGAGTTCAAAGAGCTTCCCCTGAAATATTATCCATCCATCTATCTTCTTCCGCCTACCCTTAGTCGGGTCGCAGAGGCCCACACTTCCCTCTTCCCAGCTACTTGGGCAAGCTCCTCCGGGAAAATCCTAAGGCGTTCCCTGGCCAGGCTAAAATATTCAGTTTTCTCTAATAACTTTTGCAAATTAATAGCAAACAGTTACAATTTCACAAGACTTATTGTCAGTTATGAGAGGATGAAACTAAATGATGCTTTTCAAACTGAACAGATTACATCCCATTAAAATGATAAATGCACCCGATGGAGGCTTTATGGGTGATTGTAACTGATCAGGTTATGGTTGAACATACGACACAGGTTGGAACAGATCCTCTGGAATAAAAAATAAACTGAAACACGAGAATGTTTTGACTGTAATTGTTGGGTTTTAGAAGGACGTGGATAAAAAAAACAAGTCCACAAGCATGTAGATAATAAATGATGCTACTATAACGTAAGTCAGTCACTTATGATGCGAAGAGAGGCTGAAACGCGACCTCCTAATCAGAATTCCTCACAGAACCGGGTCATGCTGTGCTGCATAGCTGGAGAATCCACGCTGTAATGCTCTCTGTCAACTAATCCAGCGTTTTTCTTTTTCAGCGCCATCAGAATAATTATCGACTGGCACACAAAATCTAAGCGAATTCGCTCCGAAGCTGACAGTAATCGTCGCGTGGACCAGTTTGGCTGCCATGGCTTTGAGAAATGTTCCAATGCTCTTGATGCTTCTCCTAATTCTAATCTTACAATCCAAATCTGAACATGGCCAATCAGCCAGAAGACAGTGTGGACTGATGTTAGCTAAATGAAGTGAACCACGTCACTCTTATTTTGCATTTACAAATAAAAATAGCAATAATAGCTGCAAAATCACTGGTAGTGAGTGATCTTTAGAAGCTGTGACAAGTTATTATTTAGCTCACTCACCTCAGACTGACCTAACCCTAACTTGTGGAAGAGCCACGGTGGGGACGGCCTCCCTCTTCAAACGGAGACGCTCAGCAAAACCCATTTCACTCTCCATCAAGTTTTCAATGGAATCGCGCGTAAACTGGTTTCTGCAAACTCGAGCATCAGGCCGGAGTTGGCCGTTTTCCTCCACTCTGCACCTTTTCCCCATCCTACCACAGTACTAGCCTACCATACACTGAAGGTACACACGAAGTGTAACATTAAATTTAGCTAGCCCTAAGTGCTTCTCTAAAAACTAACCTATAAAAATCCGTGATAATCTATAATACTACAAAATATAACAGCCAAGGTACTAACACTAAATAATTATCTATATTGCTGAAAGCTATGCTAAAGATTCGTACTAAATGCTATGCTGTTGCTAACCAATGCTAACCTGTGAAACGGCTAATCACTCACTCGCTAATTCAACTCGCTACAAAGCCCGGGCTGAGACGTTCATGCTTTCATAACGTATAGCCACGGCGCATGACCGGCGCATGGGACCAGGTTGCGTGGCATGGCACGTTTCAGCCTTTGGTCAATGCAAATTCTGTTTTCTTAGTTTGAAGATGAAGGTGGCGCTAGGCTGACATTTTCAGACAGAAATTAGACTTTTTAAAGGAAATTTACAAAAATGCTACAAATAAAATTACTACATGTCTACAGCACTATTAGACACTCCGCTATCAGCAGACACAAGTTGATTTTGATGTGACTTGCTCTTTAATTAGACTTGTAATAATATCTTAGATCATCTTTCAATAAAGCTTTTTTATTGTCTTTGTTGATATTACCTTAAATAATCATTTATTAAAACTGGTCCAATCCGACCCGATGCCCAGTAACTCGTACAGCTCATGTGACAGACATGAATGAGTTGGTTAGGATTTCTTTTGGAATCCCAGCCCGGGAGTTTACCTGAAACAGCGCCCACGCCACACTCCTAGCTCCTAGCTTTAGGGGAAAGGGGCCGATCAAATTCATTCCGAGGCACTCCATTAATGGTAGGGGCCACAGCGGCACCCGCGGCGTACCATCTGGCAGGCCGCGCACCGACGCCGCATGTCTGCACGGATGCCCGGCCGATAGGCGTTTGCACCTCGGGCACAACGCTCTCGGGTGGATGGGATTTCTGAGAAGTCCTCCTCCATAGGACAGCGGTTGCTGGAGTGACACTTTGGTCACCTGGAAGCGGAAGTGATGTAACCTCTGAGACTTTTTCCCACATGGGTAGACAACCGTACTTTCAGCTCCAGACATGCTATTTGTGCCGTCTGCGCTGTCTACCGAGGATCCAGTGTGAGTGTTGATGATTTATTTTATCTTTTCTTCGGCACTAGCTAAATATGCAGATGGAGATGGAGATGCTGTTGTGTGCTTATGTCCCGGAGGCGACATCGCTTCCAATTCCGGGTCACCGAACTGTCACCCGAGTGGGTCGGGTCAGAAATGCAAACAAAAAGTCAGGAAGTGTAACAGTTAAAGCAGAAGTCTGAGCAGTGAGAATGAAACGAAACAAAAGGAGGCCAAAGACGTTATTATTACTCACTTAAATCATTCGATCCAGATAGTTTAACCTTTGAAACATTTTTTTTTAATTAAATTTTTTTCTCTCAAAATCTTGATTTTTGTTTGATCTTCCAAATACCTTTCTTGGTATTTTAGGCACGATAATTTTAACCCTTTGATTCATGAATTATGAAATCTTCAACCATGATTTTTTAAACAATTTTTTTCATTTGTCTTTAGGTATGAATGAAACAAATTTCAACAAATATTTCTTGTAAAATTTTATAATTTACAAACAATTTATTACATGTCCACCTCAGTGGACAGCGTGCATTCTGAACATGAAATATGTTGGCTTGCCTTACTGAAGTCCAAATGGAGGGGCTCAAATGCAATAAAGTCTTCAACAGCTGTGCTTAATAGCAAAAATAAATAAATAACAATTTTGAGTACCTGTCCACTGTAGTGACCATTATGCATCAAAGGGTTAACATACGCATCAAACAGAGAGGCGCACATTGCTGTTAGACAGTCAGAGGTGAGATAGGAGATCTTCACCTGAGCTCAGAGCTGGCTCTCTTCTAGCTCCTGAGGCAGGAGTATGACTGTGTCATCGTTTCCCTCCATGTGTCTAATGTGTGCATGTTTCTGTGTCTGTGTGCAGCTGCCGGGGGTGTGTTCAGAGCAAATGGGGCTGTAACTGGTGCGTTCACCAGCACTCGTGTACCCACAAGTCTTCTTGTGAGAAGGAAGTCATCATCTACAATCAGCACGTAAGTTTCAGCAGCAAGCATGTAACAGATCTGTAATCCATGGGATAGACGTACTGATAGTGCGGAGTTCTCAGGAAACATGCAGACGCAGCAGTTTTCCTGCTGCTGAAGGAAACACAAAGTTCTGTTTAACAGAATCAACACGAAACAAACTAAATATCAAACAGATATCAGAAGAATTCACTAGAACTGCACGCAGTCAGGAACGGGTTCCAATCCAGCCTGCACCAGTCCTGCCTCTCCGTTCACTTCTCCACATCTAGCCCCGCCCAGGGCCGGTTATAGACTGGAATATTTGAGGGGGCAGGAGACTTGTGAAGGGGTGGACTGTGATGACGGAATTACATTTAGTTAAACTTTGACCTTCCCTTTCCTTCTCTGTCCCTGAAACTCGTTCATCACATCATAAATCCACTACAGCAGGAGATCTCAAGGGGGTCCCCACAACGCTGTCTTTGCTGAGGTTGTGAGGTTATCAAGATTTTATTTGTAAAAATGCCATTTATGTCGCATTAACACACCCTACAGTATAAGTTAGAACTGTTTGTCTGCATAAAAATGGTAAATGATCCCAGTTAAAGTGTGTGTGCGTGTAGGAGATGGGGTTGGGGTCCTGGCTTGTCTCGGACACAAGCAAGGAGGTCCTCAAAGAGAAAACTAAGTAACCTCTGGACTACAGCAGTAACATCTTTATGGTATCGCATCCTAAACCCTCGCCAGACTTCAACACATCCACAGTTCTGCTGCCTGTCTCCTTAACCACGCCCACTCCTGTGACCTCATCACTCTTGTCTCTTCATGACCTCCACTGTCTTCCTCTTCCTCAGTGCATCACATTCTAACCCCCAAATTCCACTACCTCCGCTCCGCCCCCGCCTTCCGCAGCCGCTCGCTTCCGAACTCAAATTTTACTGGTACCCGCTCTACAACGGCTCCGCTCCGGTGCGGAGACCTGAGGGGGGCAAACAGGCATGCGCGGGATTTTCGAGATCTTGCGATACAGTCCGAGCAATAAACGCGGAAGTTAGATCCAAACACCCGTTGTGTGGGAGAAGCATCGAAATGAACTGTTTAATCTGCCCATCATTTGTGTTGAGAGATCAGCAGTGTTTGGATCAACAAAGTGTGACTACTTTGATAGTAGAAACTGCATTTATGGCTTATTTTTGTGCATTTAAACTTCAGCCGCCATTGGTAGTTGTTAAAAGTTGTTAAACCTGTGCATATGAAACAAAAACGCCTTTTGTTTATCGATTTATTGTGAAAAACGGAAGTTGTGCTTGCTCCTTTTCCTGTTGGGCCATTGTGATTTCTGTCCATTGACTGCGGAGGTGTTCCGGCGTCCGGCAAAAATAGAATCGATCCTATTTTTGCCGGACGCCGGAACAGAGGGCGGCGCACGGCGCCGCACTGCCGGAGCACGGCCGCAGTAGTGGAATTGCTCTGATTGACTACAACGGGACCGATTTTGCTCCGGCGTTCGTGTTGGAGTGCAGCGGAGCGGAGGTAGTGGAATTTGGGGGTAAGTCCTCCAGAACCCGACCCCCTCCTACCCCTCTGACCTCTCCACCTTAAAACTCTTGTCAAGACTCGTTTCTAAACTGTTTTAAAGTTTATTAGTGATGGTTGCATAATCTGCCTGTTTTATCTGGACGTTTACAGCATCTCTGAGTGTCTAGAGAAGCTCTTCATAAATAAAATGTAATATTATTCTATATTGTGACCCCTGGCCTGTCCTACTATGGCGTCCCACCTGAAGGCTGAGCTTCTGCTGGTGCAGCTCCTAGGCTCACTGATGCATGTAAACCCCCAGACCACAATAAGGTGCCAATGCCTCAGGGGGCACTGAAAACAAATTAATAATGAAATAAAATCTCCTTCATCAGGTTTTAGGAACCATAAACATGCATGCTTGTAGTTTACCGTTTACTATTCTTTTTATTTATTCTTACATCTAACTTTTTATTCTATTAAGTTTGAATTAGATTTACAACTTCTTTGTTAGTTTTAGTTTTGTTTTTACTTTTGAAATTTTTTTACTTTCAGATAATTCTTTAGTTTCAGTTTTAGTTTTAGCCTTTTTGTAATATTACTCACAAAGATTTGTCTGTATTCTAATTAGAGTTAACGGGAAACATAAAAAACTGTAGTTTTTGTTATGTAGTTAGTTTTTGTTAATGATGATAACCCTTGTTCTGAACCCCACCCCGCCCAACGCTGAGCAAAGCAACCCACCACCCCAGACCCCTACCAGGCGGCCAGATCTCCCTCCTAGCCTCCAGCTCCGGGAAGCCAAGCGACAACAGAGGCTTTAATAACATCTTAGATCATCTTTCATCAGAATTTGACTGTACTCTCTGTTGATATTACCTGAAATCATCATTTATAATACTTTGTCCTGCATCATCATTAGTAGTAGACATATAGTAATAAACAGACTTGTTGTTGATGATGTTGCTTCTGTGTCAGAGGAGGTGTCGGTTCCCTGGCGTACCCAGACTACCTTCTTTCTTAACCAATCGAATAATAAAGGTTCAGTAATATTGATAATCCATATTTTTATGGAGTGTCACATTTTATTCAGTACCTTTATGTTTTATAGACAGTTTATCAAACGTAACCACTGACTCAACGTTACAGCAGTGGTTGTGGTTCAGAGTCTGATTCGGTAGTTTTAGACTAACTTTAGTAGAACTGATGCAACACATTTACTTTCTTTTTAAATGCTCCTAATTCCATTTTCTTCTGCCCTCTCCAGTTTAAACTACCTACCTCATCTCTTCCTACCAAAGCATCACCAACAGCTGGTTCAAGAGCCCCCACCAGCAGAACCACAGCTCGGCTCAAAACTTCAGTCACGACTACAACCCCCCCCTCACACACTACTGCCATCAGCCGTGATCAAACTACTTCACATCCCCACTCATCCGCCCATCACAGTGCCACCTACTGGTGCCTCCACCAAGGAGAACTATGACTTTCATGATGGCACACTGGTAGTGGTCACTCAAAGTGCCGCTGAAGCAGCCAGTGTTGCTGCATCGGTAGTAGAGATGATGCCTCCCCTAGAGGTGGTAACAGACTCATCCCCCAGTGACAAACAAGATGTCCGTGAGTCACTGAGCCTGACAAAGCCTCCCACTCTGGCATCATGGGGGGGGTTGAAGCCACACCCTACACTGTGAAGAGACAGTTGACTTTACGCCCTTCTTGAATCCAGACTTGACTCAAATGCCAACAATGGAAGACTCCATGAGAACAGCCCAGAGCACCGAGCCTGCAGTGTTGCTGTGGTCACTTGAGGCAGACAGCCAAGCTGAAGGTGGTACACAAGTGGAAGATGACAGAGCGACTTTCTCAGCTCCCACAGTGCTCTCAGGTGATGGAGAAGTTGACCGCGATGCCCTATTTTACCCACATGTGATGGATCGAGACTCAGAACTGGATTACCAGTATGATCAGGCCGAGAGCTTTCTCCTGGTGAGTTTAAAAACAACCCCGTGTTCACTTGCTGCATTATAGCTTCACTTCAAGCATGTAGTGACAGCGAAGACAAAAACTCCCTTTAAACAGGAAGAAACCTCAAGAGCAGGGCTGTTCAATTCCGGGCCTCAAGGGCCGGGATCCAGCACGTTTTAGTTTGAACCTGCTTCAGCACACCTGATTTCCATCATGATTAAAGGGCTTCTGCAGAGCTGATGAGCTGCTGTGCAGGTGAACCAACCACTGAATCTAGTGTGTTGGACCAGAGAAACCACCAGAACATGCTGGATACCGGCCCTCAAGCCTGGATTTGAATAGCCCTGCTTTAGAGTTTCTAACTGCAACCATCCACCACGACTCACTCGGGATTCAGAAGACAGAGCACACACACACACACGCACGCACGCACGCACACACACACACACACACACACACAGGTGGAGTGAGGCGCAGATTACGTGTCTTTCTCAGGGCTCCTGGGACATTTTAAGCTCCAACTAATTCAATCTGCTTAATAGAGGCTCAAAGATCATTTTTCAATTCTAAGAAGCTCTTACACCAACACCGTTACTGTCAAGAATACACTCATTGGGTACACCTGTCCCACTGGTCGCTAATGCACATTACTAATCAGCCAATCACAAGGGTGGCAGCTCAATGCATTTAGGCATGTAGACATGGTCAAGATGATCTGCTGCTGTTCAAACCGAGCTTCAGAAGGGGGAAGAAAGGTGATTTAAGTGTCTTTGAACATGGCGTGGTTGTTGTTGCCAGATGGGTTGGTCTCAGTATTTAAGGAACTGCTGATCTTCTGGGATTGTCACACACAACCATCTCTGGGGTCCAAAAAAGGGAAAACATCCAGGAGCGACAGTTCTGTGGGTGAAATGCTTTGTTGATGCTAGAGGTCAGTCGCCCAGTGAACCAGACCAAATTCTTGTTTTGCAAAGTTTGGTCTAGGAACGCTCCACTGGAACCTTCGCAGCCCCTTGCAGCGTTCTGGCTGGCCAATCACAGCTCTCTGCAGGGGTTTCAAACACAAAGAGCGCTATGATTGGTCCACAATGGCGGGCCAGTCTCAGCGCTCGATCTGTTTTGTGGACCAATCACAGCGCTTCATTCGCTTTGTGGGCTAGTCAGGGCGTTCAGTTCGTCTGGTGGTTGAACTATTTCGACTTGGGTTTGATTAGAATCAGGAGCAGATAGATGTATTTAAGTCCTTTATTTAGAAAAAAGGATGTATTTTTGGCTTCTAACATCTGCTGCGGTGAAAACTTCACGTTGATCATCGTCTAGCATGCGGAGATTGTTTGAAAGACAACAGTAGAACCCGCCCCACGACCGAGAGCCATTGATGGAGCATTGCCAGTGGGATGTCCCGATCCCTGGTTTGGATCGGGATGATCTTTTCATAGTTTTCAGCGATCAGAGATCAGCAGTTATAACTGACAAGTCTCGCCGATCTCCCGAAATGGACTATGAGCATGTTAGCAAATGCTGCTTCTGGGGGAAAAACTCCTGTAGAGGGCTCCATATCCTGTGTGATGGTGTCGCCCATAGTTTAGTCGAGTTTTCCAAAATAATCAATCCAATGGATGAAGAATCAAGCTTGCGATTTACATTCCTCAAGATGTTTCGGACACTTATCAAACAGCTGGTGTGAGTTTAAATCCTTCCAGCGAAACCTCAGAGTCTGCTATGAGCTTGTTCATCTACGTCTCCGTTAAAAACATCAGGTGGTCAGTAGTCCTGCAGCAGCGCAGGCAGCTTGTCCACTTCATTCAGGAGAGAGCGGACATTTCCCATGATCTCTGTTTCCTCTTCAGAGCTCAATTCTGGAGGCAGGACCGGGTTTCCGTGGAGAGAGAGCCAGCGTAAGCAGCACCCACAGCTGATCCCTGCAGTAAACAATCAATTCATGTGCAGAGCTGCAGGAGTTTCCCAGAGCCCTCCCATTTCCATAACCCACAATCGGTAAAAAAATTAACACCATTTCCTCTCCTGGAGCTTACGTCCCGCTCTGCTGCATCTTAGTTTCTCCGTAATTCTGGAGGCTGAACCGACGTTTCCCGCGGAGAAGTGTGCTGCAGTAAAAGAGCTAACATTAGCTGCACCTACCTTTATGGCATTAAAATACGCACAGAAGAAAAAGCAAAAAGTAAAAAGAGAGTAACGAAGCGAGAGCTGCCGTTACTGACTGCAGCCCACCTCGTTAGTGATGTGTCGTGTGGGAACAAAACGGCTTTTTATTTATATTTTTCTCCCTTTCTCGCGTCCCTTTCATGCCCTCTGTGTTTAAGCCGCACGTGATTGGTCAACTCATCGATGAGCCTCCGCTCCTCATCGGCAGCGAGCGGGGGGGGGGGTTGACAAGTACAGGTGTAAACTCACAGAGCAACGGACGGAGGCTGCAGAAAGGTGAGGACATGAGTTAAACAGGAAATGAGTGTGGACTATGCAAAGCAAAAAGCAGGCTCTGAAAATGTTATTGTATGATTATTTTAACTTTTCTAAGTTATTTACCTGTAAAAAGGTAACTCTATAAATATTTACCTACAGAGTTTATTTTTGTTATTTAAATTAGTTTAGTTGCACTCGGTTTAGTGTTGATAGTTAGAAGTAATTTAAAGGGATACTTTGCAACGTTTTCACATTTTTAAATAATTTTCCCTGAACCAGTATGTGCTCAAATGAGCTTTTTCATGGTTAATGAAAAGTCAGTCAGACCCCACCGCCCTCTGTAGCCAGAATGTCACACTTACAACTTCAGAGTGGCCGTCCGCTGTTTAGCTGACATACCTGGTGCTGCAGTCTGCTTCCAGCAGGCCTCCTGCATGTTTTAGACCATGAACACATCTGATTTAGCGATGACTCCCTTCTGGAGATGCTGATGGCGGCTGATTTAAGTTGATTTAATATAACTTCATAGATTGGTCAGTAATTTCACACAAATTTTCCTTTTTGTACTTGAGTCCATCTTTACTGCAGCAATTCACCGCAAAATAAGCTACCAGAAATATAACACTCTACATCCGCTCTCAGAACAGGAAGTTGATTTCATGGGATATACAACAA